GCAACTATAAAATAGCTTTTATAATGATACTTACAGCTATCATATTTTTGTAATTGATACAGCAATCATATTTTTGGAAATTAGTACTCGTAAAAATTAAACCAACTATCTGCTACCACATCTGATCTATCCTAACAAAATAGTGCTTGCTTTCTATTTGCTATTCAGATTTAATTTGAATTTAATAGCTCTATCATATATCTTGTTCTGTAAGTAACACCTTAATCATTTACAAGTGGAGCTATGAAAATATTTTAAAGCATACCACATTCTTCAGGCATAAAAACAGATTGGCTGTATGTATTACATTTTTAATTCAACTTGGTGGCTACTGCATATCTTTGAACAGGAAGAATCTTATGTGCTCTTACCTGCTCCTTCACACATATTGCACTGAGTTTTGATTGTGAAAGCCATTTTCATTTCAGAGCAATACAAGTATAACAAGCAAGCAAGCACATGCAATTTGGGTACATGCAACATAATTTAGGCTTAGCTCCAGGTGTAAAACAGACATGATGGTTTATTTAATATGCTCTAGATCAGAGGTCTCCAAACTTGGCAACTTTAAGACTTGTGGACTTCAATTCCCAGAATTCCCAGAAATTCTGGGAGTTGAAGTCCACAAGTCTAAAGTTGCCAAGTTTGGGGAACCCTGCTCTAGATAAAAGGAATAACACATTTCCTAATATGTGAAACCTATACATCTTACATTCCTCCTTCCTATGTAGCAATCAGTACTAATCCTGTACAATGGAGAATGATCCCAATCTGTACTTTCTGAGCATTAAACAGAAGCCTACCAGACATTTTCTTACTTTCTTATACAGAGGTTTCATAATTAAGTAACACCACTTATCTACCATCCATCATCTCACATCATTCTACATTCTCCTACATCTTATATCAGCAATGGGTTAATGAGCTAACATGATCCTGTAAGATTTATCCAAAAAGTGGGTGATTGTAGTAAATGCACACAGGGACTGATCTATAACGCTATTTTACTTATTTTATTTTTATTTATTTTATTTGTCAATAGCTTACAAGATAATAAACGTAAGTATAAATACAGGAAATGAGTACAAATAATTGGGGACAATAGGACAGGGATGGTAGGCATGATTGTGTGCTTATGCACGCCCCTTACATCCATCTTAGGAATGGGGTGAGGTCAATAATGGTTAGTTTGAGGGGAAAGGAGTGTGGGTTTGGTGATGTGACAACAGAGTCTGGTAGTGTGTTCCAGGCATTGACCACACTGTTGCTGAAGTTGTATTTTCTGCAATCAAGTTTGGAGTGGTGTACATTAAGTTTATATTTGTTGTGTGCTTTTGTATTGTTGCAGTTAAAGGTGAAAAAGTCATTGATTGGTAGTACATTAAAGCAGATTATTTTATAAACTCTGCTTAAGTCAAACCGTAGGTGGCATAGTTCTAGGTTGACAAACAGAGGAGTGTAGTACCCTTCTTGTGAAGTATTTATGGACATGCTCAATTGTATTAACGTCTGATATACAGTGCAGATTCCAGACAGCCGATCTGTATTCAAGTATTGGTCTAGCAAAGGTTTTGTATGCCCTAGTTAGAAATTCAATACTTCCGGAGGAGAAACTTCTAAAGATTAGATTTACAACTCTTGAAGCTTTCTTGGCAATGCTGTTGCAGTGAGCTCTTGCACTCAGGTCATTAGATATGAGTACTCCAAGCTCCTTGACAGAATGAGGGTCATCAATGAGGTCATATCCACCTAGATTGTATTTGGTGTATTTATTTATTTATTTGGGGCTTTACCTAATGGGTAAATCCCACTATTGTGGTGGTAGACCCATAGGCTACCCTGTAGTTCATGATAGCAGGATTCCAATATTTGAGGGGCTGCCACAAAGAAGATGGTGACAACCTGTTCTCCAAAGCACCTGAATGCAAGACAAGGAGAAATGGATTGCTGTGAATCAAGGAGAGAAGCAATCTAAAAATAAGGAGAAATTTCCTGACAGAACAATCAATCAGTGGAACGACTTAATTCCAGAAGTTCTGGGTACTCCATCACTGGAGGTTTTTTTTAAAAGAGATTGGACAGACATTTATCTGAAATGGTATAGGGCCTCTGCTTGAGCAAGGGATTGGATTAGAACAGTGGTCACCAACCAGTGGTCCGTAGCCCACCGGTGGTCCACGAGAAAATTTTGGTGGTCCACAGAGCACCCCCCCCAAAGCAATTAATCCAGGCTGCATGGGAATACAAGGTTGTGCCACCCACATGGCCCATGGGAACCCACCCTGCCCATTCGCTCCTTACCTGGCAAACTGGCCTGCTGAGTTGCTATTTTTCCTTTTTTTTCCCCCGACCATCAGCTGTTTTGCTGTGCTGGGAGATTTAGATTAGCTAGAAAGCCGGAAATGGTTGGATTTCTTGCTTTCTGGAGAATCTTTAGATTTTCCGCTCTGCGAACCTCCCTTAGGACTGAAGGTTCTACTATTGAGTGCAGACTCAGATAGCCAATAGCAGAATCACAGATCTCTAAGTGAATCTGTGATTCTGCGAGCAATTCAATCTGCCTGCCTGCTTTGCCTGATTTTGGGTAAAAGTTGTTCTTTTTTCATAAAAAAATTCAATATTTATATACATGGTATGTTGTGAGTTAATTTTCTGAGTTTGTTTGCTGGCAAATTTTATGTGGCAGACTCAGATAGCCAATGGCAGAAAGATAGATCTCTGAATGAATCTGTGATTCTTTGAGGAACTCAATCTGCCTGCCTGCTTTGCCTGATTTGGGTAAAAGTTGCTCTTTTTTAATAAAAAATTCAATTTTTACATAAATATTTATAATATTTGCATACAAACCATGCCCAGCAAGTCACATGACCACCAAGCCACACCCACAAATTAGGCCATGTCCAAGAACTGGTTGTTAAGAAATGTGAATCCCACCTCTGCCTCTGTGTGTGTGTGTGTGTGTGTGTGTGTGTGTGTTTGAGAGAGAAGAAAAGGGAGAGAGAGAGGTTAGATCAGATCTCTCTCTCTCTCTCTCTCTCTCTCTCTCTCTCTTCCAACAATGTCAGCAAAACACCATCAGTCAAAATTCATATTAGTGGTCACTGGGATTTAAAATTAGGAGTTTGGTGGTCACTGAGGTCCAAAAGGTTGGCAGCCCTTGGACTAGAAGACTTCCAAGGTCCCTTCCAACTCTGTCATTCTTTTCTGTTTTTTGTTTTGTTTTGATTTGTTCTGTTCTGTTTTCTCTGTTTTGTTCCCCTAAACGTTTCGGGGAGCCAGAAGTTGATTTGCTTATTACAGTATTTTGTTTTCCTATTTTTTAACAAATTAACCTTGACATATTTGCTGCATGGATTGTTTTTTTAAAAAAATATTTTTATTGCAATGATTTTCCTTAAAGCTTTTACAAAATATTTTCCTGCAAACTGTTCTGTGTTCCCCTGGAAAAGTAGTTTAGAAATAAAACAAATATATAAATTTCCTGTAGGACAGGTTTTTTTGCTATTTTTGTAAAGGACGGGACCATTAGATCTGGCATATAAAAGTTCAGATGAGTACATGATTGCAACAGAGAGATAGAAAACATTTAAAAGTCATCTGAATTAAAAAAAACTTTTAAAAAATTAAATTGTAAAATAAGTTTATCAAGCCTCTATTAGGTTTCATTTTACTTCACATCAAGCCCATCCCATCCCACCAGTGGTGGAATTCAAAATTTTTTACTACCAGTTCTGTGGATGTGGCTCAATGGGCTTGGCTTAGTGGGTGTGGTGTGGCTTGGTGGGTATGGCTTGGTGGGCGTGGCAGGGGAAGGATATGTAAAATCCCATTCCCTCCCCACCCCACTAACCTGCTTCCCAGCTCTGTTCTCCTGTGCAGGGCAACCAAAGAAGACCCAGACAATCAGCTGGGACTCAGGAGGCAGAGAATAGAAGGGGGCAGGGCCAGTCAGAGGTGGTATTTGCTGGTTCTCCAAACTACTCAAAATTTCCGCTACCGGTTCTCCAGAACTGGTCAGAACCTGCTGAATACCCCTTCTGCATCCCACCCCCCAAAAATGTAAAGGTGAAAATTCTGTCTAAATTACTATAGTGATTTCATGATGTCACTTCATCATGGTTAACAAAAAAAAATATCCTGCTATATTTTTAAAGTGGAACTGTCAACTGCAAAAAAAAAAATTGCATTCCTTCCCACTTTATTGCTTTCATGAATCAGGCAATTGAGATTTACTAACTACAAATGTGGTTCAGTGAACAATCACTTAGATCCTATAAATCATCATAATTTGTTTCCTTACAGCTGAATATATGCCTTAAAGATCTATGGAGACAAATATCTCTAGATTTGCTCTACATAATTCACAAGTGACGTCTGACCCATAGTCCTTGCAAAGCATTTAGAAAGTTGGCTTTAGGTAATTTGGCCACGCTCTTCTTCTAAACCTTTTTTTTCTTACAAATTCCATAAATTGCCATGGAACTCATCCAAAAACCATATACTTAAATTGTCTATCAATTCAGGTGGTATGGATAGGTATCTGGCACCACCAATCCATAAATATGAAACAATTATTCTAAGCATTTATTTTTATGTTTATCCCAGTATATGAGGCTAACCAAAGTGCTGTAACTTTAATGGGAATGCAGGTAAAACCTCTGCTTCAGAACAACCACTCTTCAAAGTTGGTTAAAGTTTTGAAGGAAGAAGCTTCTCACAGCCATTCTAATGTAGAGGAAATCCTGATTAAAACACTATAGTACAGCTAGGAACCATTTTATCTTAAAAGAGAAAGAACAAATGCAGAGTCTTCAACTGGAGAATGCGCCTTTTATCTCGCATGTTAATGTAAACACTGTAACAATAAAGAACAAGATTTATTTTTAACTTGGCTTCACCAAAGCTCTGTTGCAATGACTAAAGGTGACAGTTTAGAGAAATATTAATCAGATACATCTATTTAAAGCGCTATCAGTTTTATTTTTTATTATTTTTCTACAGAAAAGCTAAGTCACCAACCCAGGGCAATGAAGAAAATCAGAGAACTCTTGGCCTACCGCCGGTTCTTCCTCATTGTTTTTACTCCCCTTCTACTGCTTCCATTGCCTCTCATCATCAAAACCAAAGTAAGTGAGAATGGCTGAGCTTTTTCAGGGTGGGGCTGTTTAGATATGCTTGATTGTCCCTGGCAGGGCCAGCATACTGAGATGCATTGATTGGGAAAGGCTGGGCTGTATATTGACATTGAATTGTTTTTCCTGGCTATATCACTGACTTCCGATATTTTATGCTCTATTGATCTCAGAATGAAATTCCGTACAATGTAATAATGTATATGACTTGAAAAAGATCAAGGCTCTTTTTCTGATTCTTCTTAATGTGATTTTGATGGATAAACTGAGACGTCATCAATCAAAATATTTCATATGTTTTGAAATCACAGCTCCTCACAAAAATCCTAGAGAATTACATAGATCCTTATGTTTTAGTATGTTGGCATTTGAAGCCAATATGATTTGTGAATCATGGCTTATGACAGGTTTTGTAGAAACCCACTCAATTGTGGTTTAATGAAAGTAAACCTTGACTTACTGCGTGAGCCTTGTCACAAACCTAAAATATGTTTAGTTGTGGATAGAAAATTACTAAGAACTGTGGAAGTTTCAAATTACATCTAAGGCAACAAGACTGAAAAAAAACCTTACAGAGGGAATCCCTCATTTTGAAAGTATATCGAATGTCAGTTAATCCTGTCTTAATAGAATGAAATAAAGGAAAAGATGAAAATCATTTTTACAATTGCTATCATATATTCCAGAGGATATCCCCTACCCTGATTCCTAGTTTACACCTTCAGACAAGGCAGAATTTTAAAAGTATGACAGAGAATACCATACGAAGCCTTCTTCCCCCAAAGAAGACATTTTCATGAATCTGAACTTGTTAAATTCTCGTTTGTAATATTTGTATTCACAAAAAAGTATCATGTAGGCCCGTATATCCTTTGGGATATATGCAAAGTTCAAGCATTCTTATTTCATTTTCCTTTGAAACAGCTGCATTTTCTTCACACTTCTCCTACATATCTCTTCTCTGGAGAGGTTTCTCATCAGCCTTTCCGTCTGTTTGATACCTTAAACTGCCTTCCACTTATTTTGATTTTAAAACAAAGTGCCATCTATCTACGGGCCATTGTATGGAGGTAGCTGGGAGATAGAATTCAGCAGCTATTGATTTTTGTTAATGCATTAGATGCTTTCAATACTAATTGATCAGGTACCTTCTAAGTTCTATGTGCACCTGTGACTGATTCATGAAGACCCAGGTACCAATTAAGGATGCAGTTGCCAAGAATGCAACCTAGACATTAAGAAAACATTACAGAGATTGCGTATGAAGGCAGCATTTTCTATTTAACATCTTCTTGTGGCAGAAGGTTAAACCAAGCAGATAACAGCAGCTTGTCAACTGGACAAGTGTAGCTTTTTATCTGCCAATGTAATCAAGGCATTTGTCAGACATTAATAATGTAAATGAGTGAATTTTTGACTCCATGAAATTCTACAACAAAACTTGAGTTTTGAGAAGCCGTCAATTGTCATTCTGATCAATGACTGCGCCAGTTTTATTACCACCACCACCCAACTATTTATGTCTATATATTTTCACAGTACTGCACAGTTCCTTTAAGTGGCAAAGGAGGGAAATAAATCTCCCCTAATGCAGATTTTCTCCCCATCATAATTAGTCATAACAGCATTTTTAGAGAAGTTATTTTGAGAACAAATAAAAATAGACTCCAAAGATTGAAAGGCGAATCTATCACATTCACGCAACGTTCATTTCTCTTCTCTAGTATCTTTTATATTATGAGTTTGCCATGCAACAATATATACTATCAAATACACAATCCTTTAGGCCAGGGATGTCAAACTCGCATCATCACGGCAGTGTCACGTGATTTATTGAGACTTTTTCCCCCTTCACTAAACTGGGAGGGGGTGGGGCCAGCACATGAGGCATCCAGCCCACGGACCGCGAGTTTGACACCCCTGCTTTAGGCATATAGATGTCTGTTTGGATATACAGGTAGTCCTTGACTGACAACCACAATTGAGCCCAAAATTTCTGTGGCTAACCGAGACAGTTGTTAAGTGAGTTTTGCTCCATTTTCCGACCTTTCTTGCCACAGTTGTTAAGTGAATAACTGCAATTGTTAACTTAGTAACCTGGTTGTTAAGTGCATGTGGGTTCCCCATTGAGTCTGTAGAGATTCTCACTCATCCAGGTCACGGTTGTCCCAAAGGTGCTTTTTCAGGAAGCAACTGGACTTTCTTGGGTTTTTTTTTCTTTGAAGACATTTCACTTCTCATCCAAGAAGCTTCTTCAGCTCTGACAGGATAGTTGGGAAGCTGTCTGCAAGGAATATAAATCCTTCCATTCCCCACCTTCAAAGACAAAAGCAAGGAAGTCTAGTTGCCTCCTGGAAAAGAACCTTTGGCTTCCTCATTGAGTGCTTGTCAGAAGGTTGCAAAGGGTGATCACATAATCCTATGAACCATCATAAATATGAACTAGTTACCAAGCACTCAAATTTGACCACATGGCCATGGGGATTCTGCAACGGTCATAAGTGTGAAAAATGGTCATAAGTCCCTTTCTTCAGTGCTATTGTAACTTTAAATCATCACTAAATGAACTGTTATAAGTCAAGGACTACCTGTATAGATGGATGGGATGGATATATAGAGCAACATATCTGTCAGAGAAACATATGTTGACATATGAAATGTGCGTTGAGCAGAGTCTCATTGTATATTTATGGAACCTGGTATCATTTATATAGCCATAATATAGTTGGAAGGACACTCTTTGGATATTTTAAGTTAGGAAAAATTGGAAATATGATATAGTACTAAGAATAGTACAGATAGCAGTAAGGAATCTTACAACATATTGAGCTGTGACCTAGGAGCTATCAGTCTTAATTTTTCTTAGTTTTTCAGCTTGTATAGCTCTATCAAGTTCAGATTATTTCCCTTGAATTTTTTTAAAGTTTGCAGTAAAATATTCATGTATTTTGATGCCTATTTCTTTAAGCATCCACATTTGTGTATGTATTATGTCTCTAACATAATATTGTCAAATACCTTTGACCGATATGAGAATTTTTATATTATTTTTACAAATTTATGTTTTTGTGAACAAACATTTCATGTAGGTGAGTTATCATTCTCAATGCTTATGCCATGCAAAATTCAAAAATAGCTATGTCTATGTATTAATTCAAACATGCAATGTTAAATAAGTGTTCATAAATTTGCCAGATATGAGCTAAAAAATTCCTGGCAGGTAAAAGAAATTTTGATAACTTCTAATATCTAGGGGCCATCCATATTTGAACATATATATGTATATACCCATCTCAGTTGAGGGTTCCTTTATCCATGTACACAGCTGCAATTGTCATCTCTACGTGTGATTTGATACTGGTCTTTCTATAATTTTATAAAAAGAAATCCTTCGCATCATTTAAGTATGTTAATGTTTGATACCAGAGTTCTGATTTTTAGTCATTCTAAATCATCAGTAGTTATGCAGTAAAATTTTGCATGGCATCTTAAGAAATTAATCATTGTTTGGAAAATATGTGCTAAATATGTATGACTAGTCACAAAAGGCAGCTAACCTCTTACTGCACACTCTAGGTGGTTATATTTATTGTTGGATTTTCTTTTTAGAATATAATTCTGTAAAAATGAAAGTATTATAAAAATGAGGTTTTATTACTGCCTTTTCAACAAATTGCATGCAATAAAATAGAGATGAATAAATTTCTCTTGTTCACCATCTTATTGAAATGTAGCTGTGCCTAAGAGATGGATAATTTAGTTTCAGGCAGAGAGAAGAAAGTATGCTCAATCTGTTATTTAAACGATTAATCTTTCTGGCTAATCTTTCTTCTCTAGCATATGTGCACAAGGATAGTTTAAGGCATCTTTCATGTAATGGAGAGAGAAGAAAAACTGGCCGTAGAAGCTTTAATGTGTATAGATTTTGCCGTTGCTTTGGTTTCTTGATGATTTCTTTACAATTTTACTGAAAGTTGGTAACAAGTAGTGATTTCCTGTTTTTAATTACCACTCTGGGACACAATCTGTTACAGAGTGCTAAGGATGTTGAAAAGCAGACAAAAATGTTCCATCATTAAGAATGGATCTTAGGGTCCCAGTGACACATATATCACATAGCTCCATGGAGACTATCCTATGTATTTCTGCCCCAGAAGTTTTTAGAAGGGCGAACTGAACAAGCACGGAGAAACATGTCCTCAATTCCCTTTAGGACATTATGGTAGATCTCAGCCCAAGCATGCAGACTTCAGCAGATAGGAAGCATAGGAGAATGACTTCAAAACAGCTTGTGTCCTAGGGCATTCATTTTTGTTTGTTTGTTTTTTGAGGACAAAGCTTAAGCAAAAGAAAGAACTCCATGAAGGCACATCCCCAGAATACAAATTTTATATAACTGAAATCAAAACGAGGATAGTTGGCCTACAGACTGAAAACTGCCATCAGCACAATATTTTTAAAAATCACTTCTATATATTTATCGGAGTGGCCTACCGGTGGCCTAGAGGTGGAGCTCTTACCTCACAATCAGGAGGCTGTATGTTCAATCCTAGGCAAGAGGCAGATATTTCTCTCTCTTGGCACACTGAGAATCTATCTGCTGAACAAAACTCCTCATTGGCGACAGGAAGGCTATCCAGCCATTAAACACTCTGCTAGCTCCATAGAGTTGCCCAGCAAGGGATTATGGGGCCATTAGATGATGATGATGACAACGACAACAACTTCTATATAGTTATCAAACTAACTGCCCAGATAAGTGCATTTCAGTCAGCAGAATAGAGCATTACCATGAAATCACTTGATTTTAGTCCAAATAAATGTTATTCCCTTTCAGTAAGATAATGCAAAAGTTCAATTCAAATTGGCAGAAGGTTGTCATGGTTAACTTTTGTATGTAGAGGTTGGGTCAGCTTTGTTTACAGAAGGATTCATTGAAACCTGCAGTTTTATAAGGTGTCTAAACTTTGTTCTACAACTGTATATTTGGAATTGTATTTTCTTTTTGGTTCTTTGGATTTTGTCACTTGGCTACAATTATTGTCTAATGTAACTCTGATTTGTTTTTCTAGGAAGCAGAATGTGCATACACATTGTTTGTGGTTGGTGTCTTCTGGCTCACAGAAGCTTTGCCTCTGGCTGTTTCTGCATTAATTCCTGCTTTAATGTTTCCACTGTTTGGAATATTGTCTTCAAAAAAGGTATATCTCTTCTGTTTGTGTCTTTTTCTCTGTTGTTACTCCACCAGTCAGTCACTTTATATTTCAAAGATTACAATGCATGTACTCTCTTTGATGAAATGTTGGTTTATAATGTGCCAAATACTAGAAGGAGGGCTATGAGATCTAAACTACAAAAATTCAGAGCACCACTAGGCCAATAAAGATACACAACTCTGATTCTTTGTTCCTGCCTAGTTGCTATTTGTGGGACCAATTTAATAATCCTACTAAAAAGCCCTGTTTACTTAGAACATATCTTGAAACCATCCTGACTTGCATTTATCTCTGCATCAGAGATGATTGTGATACAGAAATTTAAAAACAGAGCTAAAAACAATGGTTAATAAATAATACCAGACTAAAAACCAGGAAATTGTAAATTCTAATCCCGCTTTAGGCATGTAGCTGCTGGGTGACCTTGAGCCAGTTACTCTCTCCCAAGGCAGTGGCAAACCAATTCCAAAAAAACTTGCCTGGAAAACTGCAGGAACACAGACTGAGCAGGCTGCTCCAAGAAGTTACTTGCTTGCTTATAATACTAAAAACAAAATCACTTTTCATGAACTGAGCCATAGAATGGCACTGAGATCACTTAGACCAGGGGTCTCCAACCTTGGGCACTTTAAGCCTGGAGGACTTCAACTCCCAGAATTCCCCAGCCAGCAAAGGGAGTTGAAGTCCTCCAGGCTTAAAGTGCCCAAGGTTGGAGACCCCTGACTTAGACAACTAAGATACTAAGAAGTGAATGAAACTTCCTAAACTCATAATCTAAATTTAGATTCCCTAATTCTTATTAGCCCAATCCATTTTAATAGTCTCATATTTCTCTCGGATGATGGGCATTGCAGCCACTAGCCTGCATCATTTTTTCCTCCAAAACTGCTATATATATATATATATATATATATAGTTTTAAAAACTCTCTTTTTATTCCAATGCATTTTGATGAGCCAACGCATTTTGTGTTTTGAATACAAAAGTTGAAATGCATGCACTTAGCTAATAAGACACATTTTGATTTTTAGGTGGCATCTGCTTATTTTAAAGATTTTCACCTGCTCTTGACTGGCATAATTTGCCTGGCAACATCAATTGAAAAATGGAATTTGCACAAGAGAATTGCCCTGAAAATGGTGATGCTGGTGGGTGTTAACCCTGCATGGTACGTAGCTCGCACGTGTGTATGTGTGAGTGTCTGTATGTCTAAAGGTGCCATTGAAATTCCATTTGGCTCAGAAATGACTCTGCTTTGCAGCACAGTTGCCTCCTCTTTTCTTGATATTTTGTTGTCCATTAGCAACCACACACTGGAAAGAAATTCAACAGATGCTGCTTTAGTACAGTTCTGCTATTACAAAGAGGATAAGAAACAACGGGGCAAGTTAAGCTGTAAGGCATTGGCTATTTACATACCAGGAATACTGCTCTATTTGGCTGCTAAAGAGATTTGTTACGAGCAGCCTTTTGCTGAAATTTAATTATATGTATCATTGGGGCGAGAAGACAAGTCGCACATGAAATGCTTCTGTTATTGACGATAATGGTGGATGGCTTGGAACGAAATAGCAGACGAACTAGTGAACATCTCTGACTCATCCTCCTTAATGGCTGAGATTAGACAACCCACGAGATCTTTCATACACTGCATCACTATTATTCAATTTATGCTTTAGGTAGTTCCAGCAGCAATTTCAGACTCGGAGGAATATTCTGCCTTTTTCCCAATTTGCCGACTGTTCTTACAAAGAAGAAATTAAACCATGCTGTGCTCTTTTTTATTGCTCTCAAGGAGTCAGATGGCCCCTACTGTCTCTTGTCAATCCCACCAGCAAGTTAAAAAGGAGTTTGTAAGCACAGCAGCTTCCCTGAGTCTGAATTGCCAGTGGCTGCTGTGATGGGGAAGCAGTAAGCTGTCACTTACCTCTTTGATTGCAAATTAGCAATGTTAGCTAAAGCAGGAGCGTTTCCGCTCCTGATGTTCGATGTGGGTGAAGAGGAAGCCATGGTAAGAGCTGGTAGATGTGCTGATGCATTCCTACCAGCAAACAATATTCACACACACACAAAAAGAGATGGGCCTTTCAACTGCACAGTCACAGCAGCCATCTTGATATTTTGCACATGTGGGCATTCCGCTGGACACCATGGGATAGATCATATCTAGCCATTTGGGGTGATCTACAAAGCTAAGTAGGTTTAGCCTTGAATAGTGTTTGTATGAGAGGTCACTAGGAACCTTATGCCAATATAGAATAACTAGTGTTTCTCCACCTTAGTCATGTTAAGTTGGGTGTGAGGAAATTCAGGGGTGAAGGCGGATAAACGTATCCCATGATAATGTTGCAAGATCCAAACTGGGTCAGTCACCAGGATCAGAAGTAAGACTTCTGTTGGACCCCACCCTTGGGGAATTTCTCTCTAGCAGAGAATGTTCTCTGGGCTGTTCTGTGTGTTGTATTTATATGGTGCCTGGTAATACAGTTGATTGGGTTGTTGATGGCGGGCTATTAAGTTTCTGGTTGTCATTTTCTTGTGCTGCCAATTCCTCGTCTCCCAAGAACTTAAAGCTGGAGTTGACATCCATTCACCTTAAAGTGGCTAAGGTTGGAAAACACTGAAATAGACTAAAAGTACAACTTCTGTACTATCTTCTCAGAGAAATTTAAGCTACAGTTCTATAGATGTGCATTTCAGTAGTTTCAATACTTACTTATGTAAATTACACAGTTTCTTGAGACGTTAGTATTTTAAGTGTCATTTCACATGTACAGTGATCATTTGTTTCTCTTTGCAGTAATGTAAGTATATAATGTGAAATATTCAGAGCATATTTCAAACAAGAGTAATTGAGAGTAAGCAATATTTTTATTAGACACATATGGTTGCTCCAGTGTCTACAATTACAACCTAAACCTCATGATTTTGTGATTTCAAATTAGTAAAAAGTTCAGATAGAAAATAGAAAAATAAATAATACATTTACCTAAAGTTTCTTTTATAACCTGCTTATCTTCATACTATTAAATATATATATACAGAATAAAACCCGAAAGTAATGACGATTTAGTGCTGCATCTAAAGCCTCACACTTCTTCTCCAATCATATGAGTGAGTGAACAAGTCACAAAGTTTAAATTTATTATACTTTTCAATTTAGTTTGGTCTGGGAATTTATATCATGGAAACATTACAAAGTTAATAAGCTACAGCTGCCCCATGCATCTCTCCTTATCAGCTGTAATGACTTTTCCCAGAGGGAAGCTAAATAAATTGATCTTTCTGATGCTTATAATATGGTTTTTGGAATTAAACATATTTTAAATTCCTTCTACTGGAGATGACATATTCATCATAATTGACTCTTGCCTTTCAATTGTTCAGTCCTGCAACCATTCTTTTTCTCAGTCTCAATACCTTCATGTTGACATGCATTATATTTTATCAAGTTAGCATTTTTATCAAATTATATTTTGCCCACTTTTCTGTAAGAGAAATGGAATATAGATTTGCCTTCAGATAGTATTTAATTTAACTCAATTAAATCAAATTAGTTTGCTAGGTTGGGCAGAGTTTTTTATTATGCAATGGTATAATCATCAGTTGTAAATTTGTCAATGGACTCAAAACTTTTGGCAGCAAATTGCTGTTGCATTTTCACAGAGAATTATTACCTTTAGTGGTATTCTTTAATATTATTGAACAAAGCTATTACCAAATTCAACAAAAGTTTTAAAAGAAAGAAATGGTTAAGAAATTTATTAATAAATGCATATAGGTTAGACAATAGAAACTTACTCTGTTCACTATAGTTTGTGAATGATAGAATCAATGTTCATATATAGTAGACATGGAGAAAGTGACAGAAAGTATTTATGGAAGAATTGGAATTTAAAATGTAATGTACATCACTAGTTATGGTAATTTGAATAATAAGGCTTTTATTAGATTAGAATTTTGGTCTTGCAATAATGAAGTTAGTTTTGAAATTATATTGTTTATACCTTCATTATTCTTTTTTACTTATTAAAAAGTCTGGATACTAATGGAATTGACCTTCACTTGATAGCAGTCAAGTGAAGGTCTGCTTCATTTAAGCAGTTTATTTAAAGCTATTGGATAGCACTTGTTATAAGTAAAAGAGTATTTGTAGAAACACTCATAAAGTAAAACCTATGGATACTGCCAATATTGTACACTACTAGGATTCAATATGTATAAGTAGAAACCTGAATTGTTTAAATGTGGTAATTTTAATAGCAAAAATGTCAGTTTTTCATATTTGGAAGAGTAAGGCATTGTAAATAGCATATAGGAGTGCCAGACATATTCACCCTGAATGCTGTTGAAACTGCCAAAAACAACTGCAGTATACACACACACACACACACACACACACACACACACACACACACACACACAAACCCCTGGAGATACAGTTTCACAAATGCAAACATATTGCTGCCTACAAATCTTTTCTTTTCGTAAGGAATCCTAATATTTTTGAAATTATGGTTCTAACATTTTTCCCCATTCTCAGCTCCTGGCCCATCTAATTGTCAAAACTATCCAGCTACCCCAGATTCTCTTCAAGTCACTGCCTCTACAGATTTGTAAAGGGAGATCATGCGTGTAGCAACATGTACTGTTTTCAAGAAATTGTGTTCCATTGCTCTTTGTTGTGCTGGTGATCAGTCAGATATTCAATGAAGTGTGTTTGTGAACTGATATATGTGCCCATGTCTATGTGTGCATAGATTGATAACAAAAAATGATTTAGATACTTGGTGAACTGAAATGTTAGCAAAGAAAGCCAGCTGCTTGGTAGGACTTATGATTAGAGAATTACTTGTTGTATAGCAAAAACCAGTGACCTTTTGAGGGGTGGGAATGTCAAGCAATGGGCACATGTTGTGGAGTTAACAGACTAATGAGAGAGTCACAGAGTTAGTGAGGATATAGAAGCATGTGGGTTTGGAGGACACTTGGGGTGCTTCTATTTTGAAATTGTGACTTGCTTGTCATGAGCAAAATTGAAAATCTCATTTATTTCCTATTTCAAAATAGAAAGAAAACCTCTACCTTCACTTTTCAGTTGTGTTGGAGGGGCTCTTGAAGGGGTTAGGGGTTGCTTTCTCCATCCTTGCTATATGGACTCATTAAAAAGCTAAAAGAAATACAGGTAATCCTTGACTTCCAACCACAATTGAACCCAAAATTTCTGTTGCTAAATGAGACAATTGTTAAGTGAATTTTTCCTCGTTTTATGTCATTTCTTGATGCTGTTGTTAAGTGAATCACCACAGTTGTTAAATTAGTAACAGGTTTGTTGATGAAATGTGGCTTCCCCATTGACTTTGCTTGTCAGAAGGTTGCAAAAGGTATTCACGTGAACATGGGACACACTGCATCTGTCACAAATATGAATCAGTTGCCAAGTGTTTGAATTTTGATCACTTGTCCATGGGGATGCTGCTACTTGTCGTAAATTTGCTGTTGTAACTTTGAACCGTCACTAAAAAAACTGTTGTAAGTCAAGGATTACTAGAGGCTCTAATCCATACAGTAGTTATCTATGCTGACTGTCCTTTCACAACTTTTCTTCTCTCTTTTCCGGTGGAAAAGTAGAACCCCCAGGAAAAAGAAATACTAATTAAAAAACACATACAACTTTTTTACCAGATTTCAAACTAACAACCTACTAAAGGTAAAAGTAAAGGTTTTCCCTGTCCAGTCATCTCTGTTTCTTAACCAAGGGAGCCAGCATTGTCTGAAGACACTTCTGTGGTGATGTGCAGGGGTGAGATTCTACCGGTTCGGAAAGGTTCGTGAGAACTGGATGTTAAATTTGCATCTGGTTTGCTGAACCAGTATTTGAACCAAGTGGTTGGCCCTGCCCACCTCAATCTGCCCCTCCGAGGAGTCTCCACACACACATTTTTGAGGCAGGTAAGTGTAGGATCTGCGCGGAGGTTCTGGGAGGGACCAAATGGGCCTTTCGTAAGGGCTGGAAGTAAGTCTGGAAGCTGGTCTGTTTCCGGCTTCCGGAGGGCCTCCTGAGTCTGAGGAGGCCATTTTTGCCCTCCCAGAGGCCCAAGGGAAGCCTCTGGACCCTTGGGAAGGTGAAAAACAGTCCTCCCGGTCCTCCCGGAAGTTCTGGTAGGC